ATGGTCCATTTTGGTTTTTACAATGGCACGATTTTTCTGACAGCAAAAAGCGCAAGCGGCTTTCTCATTATCGATGTATGATGATGGAAGTGCAAACAAGAGCCATGGCCAATTCTTATTGGTATGAACGGCCGACCGTGGAACAAGCACGCGCCATGCTAGTAAACGTGCTGCCAGAACTTCCTATTAGCGACGTTACTGCAAAGAATCAACAGCGCCGCAAACAACAGCTCAAATGGTCCAGTGTACTGCAAGAAATTCGTAAAAATCGTCGTAAAATTAATAATTAGCCAGTATTTTCTTCAACTTATTAGTTTCAGTGTGTACAAACCTGGTATGCGCTTACAAGGATATTATCTTCGTTAGATCTTGCCTTTCACGACGCTGTTGTTCATTAATGCTTTTGGTGAGGTTAACGAAGTCTGTTGAGTAGTTTCTGCGCCAGACGCAGACAAATTCGTAACAACTGTTGATTGCCCCCTAATATATAGCGGTTTGTATAGAAGCATTTTTGGCTACATGAACTTGTATGCGTCAGAAGCAGAACAAAACGCAGAAGTCTTGACACAAATCAATAGAGTGACGCATACAAGTTCAGGAGAATTCATGATGTCACGAAAGGTTTCATGACGGGTTTCGTGACACTCCATGAAATGTTTATTACGATTATAGCCCTGACCAAGCAACTCCTAAGATGCGAGCATTTACGGATAGCATACAACATCAACATAAAAAAGATAGGAATCCAGAATCTATTAACACGTAAATGTCATTGCTAGTCGGGCTTTCCAGCATCATCAACTCGCCTACTGAGACCCTCGTGTCGCGATCATGTACAAATTGAAGATTTTCATGAACGATGGTTAGATCTTGCCAGCGTATCTATGTAAAACATGACGCAGTAGGTGGCGGCTAGGCTATGGCTTGTGAAATGCTGTATCGCATTACTTGCAGGCAGAGATTTAGCGGCGTCAGGATCCAACGGCCGAAACTTTCACCAGATATAGATATCTCAACAGCCAGGACGAGGCATCATCACGACACCCAGTAGCTACTCCTGAGGGAGGCGCGGGTCTAATGCGCTTCCGCGGTTTGAATGGAAATGTCAGTTTGCATTAATAGCCGCCATAAAATTTTAATTTACAAAAATAGCTACTCTCCGACATGATGTGGGCAATGCACGTTGCAGCTCAAGTGGTCATCATTGTTTGTGATTGTTTTGGTTTTTATAAAGAAATTTGTATGAGTCACAGTTTACGTATTCCGTCACTGCCAGCAGATCGTAGGGTTGATCCCATCTGACAGGGAAGGTGAAGTTTCTCTGCACTTTTAAAATTAATGCAAATCGTTATGTACACTAATACCCGTAGTTTCCGTCTTCTGTCACTGCCAACTGCTGGTACCGCGTCGTTCCTACCCGTTCTGGAGTGCGCCCACTCGTCATTCTTCCGATTTCGTGGCTCATCTCTACTGATGCCGCTGAAAAGTATCGATAACGTCAACCGCAAGTGCGGTGATGCAAAACATGACACCAAGAAAGTAAAACCAACTCAAGTCAAGGCAGAGACTGCGTATGCGATTCGCAAGGAGCGCAAGAGGCTTTTGATGGAGCAAGCGGATACCATGCAGGACAAACTGGACAAGCTCAAGTTCCGTCTGCTGGTGAAGCAAGGACATATCGAAAAAGACACCAAGCGTACTGTGGTGGAAAATGCGGTGCTGCACGAGTATATCCAAGAACAGCATGTTACGATCGCTACCACACAAGCAGCACTAACGGGACACGTGGTGGGTTGTTGACGATAGAAATTCAGAGTTGCCGTGGTATTGACTCTGATATTGTGGATCAATGCGTATAGCACCGAAGTTTAGGAGCTCAGATGCCGGCTCAGAGCGTGATTCGTTTAGGCATGGACCGACAGGAACGGTTCAACACCCTGATGGCTCTGAAGGACCGAAAAGTGTACGAGGCAGAGCGTTATCTTGTGGCGCGAACCCAAGGTATCGAGAATAGGATGAAGTACTGTCAAGAGGAGCGTTTCGAAACTATTGGCGGTGATAACTGCATTGTTCGATTTGAAACCGCACCGATCCATGGAGCTAGTGTCAAAGCTGTCTTCGACGCTCTCCTCAATACTGTGCTAAATCCTGAGATGTTTCTCTCTGAGTTGTTTGGAAGCATTACGATCCGTGAAGACAGCGACTTCGAGAACTCTGAATTCGCTCAAGTTCGATTGGTTTCGTTGATATCATCCGGAGCAACAGTGGAGTCGAACACTGCTGTGTTTTCGAAGCTGGCTGAAGGAGAGAACGGAGAGTATGGAATCATGGCTGAAGACTTTGTGGACTTTGATGAATTGCATCCATATCGCGATAGTGAACGTGTGCGGCGAGATACCACAACAATCGTGATGGTGCGTGCACTCCCGCAAACCAATGGGGGCTCACCAGTTATTGTTGTTACCCGTTGGACATATTTAAAAATCCACAACAGCTCCCTGGGTGTTTCTCAGAATCCGGACACTGAATTGATGGAAAGCTCCGTGTGCTGGGGTGATACTGCACAGAAATGCATGGAACAACAGCTCATGAACGCAGCCAGATTCAATTCACCATAGCCATTCGAGAGGATAAGAAAATAAAAATTTCATTCATGATGCCCTCAAGATACTTCCTGGCGAAGTAGGGTGGGATTGCCTTTGTAGCACTTTCAAGCTCCCCGTGATCGTCTTGAGGTATTCTTTTTGTCTTCAGTTAACGTCAGAGTCCATCTCTTTAGCACTTTCCGGCTTTCCAGGGGCGAACAAAATAACAAACGACTCGACTTCGTCGACCAGATTACTCAGCCCTCATTACCAAAAGATCATTGGGAAGATGCATCAGAACTAAGAACTAGATATAGCCTAAAAAAGCTGCTGCGTATTATTAATTAATAATAAAAAAAAAGATGAACACGCTACTCGAAAGCTTACGAGAAGTGCTCATCTTTTTAATCAGGCTCAGCCAGCATTAAAGTGCCCCGAATAAGTCACTTCCCCAAAACGTGATCATTTCAATACATCATTAACACTATATTTTGGATTCAGCGCTAGCAGGTGTCCCCGTAGCGATCCGCCAGTGTACCAAGCGCTTTCTTGTACTGTAGTAACAGGATCTGGCTCTTTGTAAACCACTACGTTGTATTTGTGATAGCCACGAAAGCGGTTCCATCTTCTTCTGAAGGGGGCTTTCATAGTAAATGAAGATTCAACTTGGTTATTGCGCATGGTATTTCGCGGCGTGAGTCATGGCATCCTGAACCATCTTGAAATAAATCACGTCCTTCATAATTATCGATTCAGCATCACGTCGCTTCTTATCGTGGAGAACTTTGATCGCGGCTTCAGTGTTGATGTGCTCGAACGCCTTCTCCACTGCCTTCGCTGCTGGCCACGCAATGACCGCATACTGAGAATATGTGGTGTCCATGAAGGGACCTTCATTCCCCATGAATCCTTCCTGTTCTTGCTGCCGTGCATCCGCCACAATTCGTAATAGTTTTCATGCCCCGGATTCAAGAAATTCATTTTCATTGTCAATTCCGTGACGTAACCGAATTCTTCCGTCGGCCTTCCTTCTAACTTGACGGCTCGTACCCGTCATTTCCATAGTAAGTTAATGAATTTCATGCTTCACTTCTGCAATGCAAAACTGCAACTTTATGTCGAAAGAGACAACTAAATTTGCGTCTTCAAGTGCGCTCGATCGATACCTTTCAAGGCACCAGAGCCCAGTCCTTTCATCCGTATACTTGTGTGATGGCAACAGTGTGAAAGATTCTTCTTCAGGTTCCATCTTACTCATCGTTTCAGCTAATTCTTCACTCAAAAGCTTATCGGTATTATTCTTCATATGCTGCATGCGCGGCGGTAAGTAAATCGAGTACCCGAGCACAAGTCGATATTCTTTCGTCACCTTCTCCAAAGCATGTTTAGCGTCAGCGTAATGAACTGGATAGTGGGGCAAGAAACCCCAAGTGCCCTCCTTTTACCGGAATCATGGCGGTATCTTACTTCTCCTCGATAAATTACCAAGCACCTCCTTTATGAGTGCTGGGCAGTTGAACCACCAACGTCGCCACGACCCCGTCTTCTTCTCGGTGTCCTGGTGCTTGAGAAAATGACCACCTTTTCCAAAAATCAGCATCTTTACAGAACACTTTGCATCGGATCGGGACCGAGCTGTAACCAAACCGTTCTGCGATTTCATTCGTCAGTTTGTCGATTCCAATCTGCCACTGTGAACTGAGGCTGGTCAGGCTGGAGCTGCCAACTCTTGCGAACACCCTCATCCATCTTCGTGTCGAAGTTGTGGCCAAACCGAGATTTCGCTGCCTGTGTGATTAGTTTATCAGCGTTGTCTCCGGTTAGAGGAACTGGACTCCCCCCAACACCATCGACAACAAGTCCAGGAACCACAGGCAGAGTGTCTGTCACTCCTTCGAACCAACAGTGCCTATTGTATGAGTCATACCGATAATATGATAGTTATTTTTGGAAAAGTATTATCATTTAATAGCAGTATCCATTGCGTGACGACAGATATCCCTGTTCTGCCACAGCAACTCAATCTTGCTGACTGTTTTTCATCAATGTAGCTACAGAGCACGACTCCATGCTCCCGATCTTTCAGAACCTGAGCAGCAGTTTACTTCTTGGCCACGAGGTAGCGCTCCTCGACGTTCTTCCAGTTGACAACCTCCCAGATGGCCTTGAGGTAGTCCGGACGCACGTTCTTGTATTGCAAGTAGTAGGCGTGCTCCCACACGTCAATGCCCAGCAGCGGCACATAGCCCGTGGTGGAGCACGGGTCCTGGTTGGGCGAAGTCACAACACCCACGCGCTTGGTCTCGGGAGAGTAGCCAAGCCAGCCCCAGCCGGAGCCCTGCACAGCTGCCGACTTGGTGGCCATAGTCTTCTTGAAGTTCTCGAAGCTGCCGAACTCCTGGTCGATGGCCTTGCGCAGCTCGCCCTCGGGTTCGCCGCCGCCGCCCTGGTTCTTGGGGGCCAGGTTGGTCCAGAAGATGGAGTGGTTCACGTGGCCACCACCGTTAAACTTGAGTGCCGGCAGCAGAGTCAGCAGCTTAGCGTGGTCACCCTTGCTCTCAGCCTCGGCGTACTGCTCGAGCGTGGCGTTGTAGTTGTTCACATACGTCTGGTGGTGCTTCTGGTGGTGGATCTCCATGATCTGGCCCGAGATGGACGGCTCCAGGGCGCCAAAGTCGTAGGGCAGATCAGGGAGCGTCACCGTCGAGATGGCGCGCGTGCTAGCGGCGCGGCGGGCTGAGAACGCGAGGCGGGAGGCAAGCATGGTAAGTTAGAGTTCGTTGGACGATCCAAAAGCTCAAATGACGTGGTGAGGTCGGATCTGTTAAACGAGGGGTGGCGATGCAGTTGGGAGGGGCGATATCTATGTTTGTGTGTGGATTGCCGGTTTAGAAGTGGATATCAAGGGTGTGTCCGCGGTCGGCATGTCCGACCCTTACCCAGTAAAATCCGATTACGAAGATTATGGTACATTGTACCATTTATTGTCCGGAGCTGATGTCCGAAGTTTTGTGCTCCGATTGTTTAAGCAAAGACAGTTGTCGCAGGACAGAGCACGTTGAAGTTGTTGGTAATCATTGGCTGATGGGCTCTTCCCGTCATCACCGGCACATGAATCATTTCAATTGGAGGCAAGCACGCTTTAACGACGACTACCGTATCGCCGATGTTGGGCGAGGCAGTTCTTTATTTACGAGCAGTGCGAGGAGCGAGGGCAACGAGGTCAAGCACGCTGGTACAGTAGGTGAAAGCTATTACCGCGGAGTGAATGCGTCCACCAAAGTTCTTTCGTGTCTTGTGGTCTGCTTAGCGGATTGTTTGCGTTTTTGCGTGAACAAGCTGTTGCTGAATAAACTTTTGGGCGGTATCCCCGTAGCACACTGAACTCTCCGCCATCTCCGTTTCAGGATCTCGAGAGAGTTCTCGGTGGACTTTCAAGCTCGACCAGCGCGTAACAACTACTTCGGGCGACTCGGAATCGTTTGAATAAAGAGAACGAGCCGTGACTAGCGTGGTTGTATCTCTCCTGACGCGTTCACCGGTCCGATAAGGGTATAGCGCGTCAAAGTCCACAAAGTCTGCGGCCATTACTCCGTGGCCACATTCGTCATTACTTTCATCCGAAAACCTCGAGAACATGATCGTGTTTGACTCCACTGTTGTTCCAGCCGAAGTCGCCGTAACCAGTCGGAGCTGTGAGAACTCTGATGTCTCAAAGTCGTTGTCTTCGCGGATAGCAACACAGCCAAACATCTCCGATAGAATTATCTCCGCATTCAGAACTGAGCCGAGAATTGTATCAAACACTTCCTTGACGTGAGCTCCTTGGATCGGCAAAATCTCAAACCTCAGGACAAAGTAGGCCCCTTCAGGTGAGTCAAAGCGCTCCTCTTGACAGTACGTCGATCTAGGATTTAGTCCGTGACTTCTAGCTGCAAGATATCGCTCAGTGTAGTCCAATTGGCGTTCCTTCAGCGCCATCAGTGTGTTGTATCGCGCCACCTGGTCTGTTCCTAGCGAAATCACGCTTTGAACCGGTTGCAAAGTGTTTAAACTTCGTTGCTTATGGTAATGGATAACAACTCACAGTCAGTCTCTATCTAAACAAGTGGATATGTAGTGTCTCCCTTACCGCGTGGCTTGTCAGCGCTGCATGCATTCCAGCACGCACCAAATGCTGTCTGTGAACAAACTCACGCAGCATTTTATTATCTGCTTTTGTTCGCTTAGTCTCTTTATCCGCTTCTCCCTGCTCCACAAGCAGTCGGAACTTGAGCTGGTCCAGCTCGTTTTGCATGTCCTTCACCTGCGCGACCAAGCTCCGTTTCACTTCCTTGCGCGCCTCGTATGCTGTTTGTCTGCGCTTCAACTGCGTCTTACGCGGCTTCAGCGTCTTCATTTCATCCTTCACCCCATCCTGGGGCCCACGGGGCTTTTCAAAATGACGCTCTGTCTGCAGCATTCTTTCTGCAGCTTGGCCCCCGACTCTCGACTATGTAGAAGGGGCTCAACTCTTTTACCAACATTCTGATTACTATAGTAGTACTCAGCTAGTAGTTTTAGAGCATTTTTTTGGAAAAATACTACTTTGAAGTACTTTGACAGAATTTATTGGTCGTAATACAACATCCAAGTTACGACCAATAAATTCTGTCAAGAAAGATTTTAGCTGGTCGTAATACAAAATTCAAGACAATTAATAATATTACTTGCTTTGTTTTTAAATGTAATATAAAAATTAATTGCCTGACCTGACAAAAAACATTATAAAAAAACGATATTCGTTTATCCGGCAGGCGTGATCGCCTTTTTACTATACACCTGCAATCCTACGATGTCAACTTCATTGTTTGCTTCATTTACTATCTTTTTACTGCACGTATGGGTCGGCTCTGCTGCAAAACGTGTTGGGATTTTGGAAGAGCATCAATAGCGAGCTCGGAAAACACAAATTCTACATGTATACAGCGTCTGAAAATGAATATCTTGCTAACGGGTTATGTGCGACTGAAATACTCCGCAACTCACGCTCTTTGGAAGTAGCGACTTACTAATGTAGGCAACATCTTGGTGCAGTTAGGTTTCATAGGTTGTTCTAGCCAAGTTCGAGTTGTGAGAAACAGAACGTACTTCCGAGTCTTGCTCAACCTACAGTTATCTGTTCATTGTCTCAGAAAAAGATATCCAGGATTGGTGTTTCCGTAGCCGCCAGCTCCACCCTTATAGCTCGAAGCATAAACATCAACTTCCCATTTATTGCGACCCTTTCACGCCGTACAAGTTCGCTTTCCCTAGCCGTTGCTGAATGCACTTCTTCATCGTGTCACCAAAGGAAACAGTGCTCTCTTGCAATTCTTGCAAAGCATCAGCTGATAGATCCTTTTTGCTACGTCGGATCTTCGAGCATGTCCATCGAGTGGCCACAACCAGGAGTTCTTCATCATCTGAATCTATTGCTTTTTCCTTGAATGAACGAATCATGAATACAGTAGTCGTGTCTCGTCGAACTCTTTCCTCTGGTTTGTAAGGGTAAAGCTCATCCGAATCGACAAAATCTGCCACAATCACTCCACAGCTTTCATCTTGGTCGTCCTTGGCCTCTACAAACTCCGTGAACATGACCGTGTTGGACTCCACTAAAGTTCCCTGCGAAGTTGACGTCACGAAGCGCATCTGCGAGATATCCCGCGTGTCTGCTTCGTTGTTTTCTCGGATAGTAATGCTACCGAACAGCTCGGAGATGATGATTTCGGCGTTCTGAGAGACATCAATAAAAGCGTCGAAGATTTCCCTCGCGTTGGCTCCTTTGATGGCTCGGTTTTCAAAAATTATTTGACAGAAGCTGTCACCGTTATTCCGTTCCTCTTGGTTGTACGAAGACCTGGGGTCCAGCCCCAGGCTTCGCGTTGTGATGAATTGCTTCGCATCTCGCAGCTTTTTATCTTTAAGTGCCACCAGCACGTTGTGACGTTCGATAGGATCTGTTCCCAACCGAATAATTGTCTGGGCTGGATGCAGCGAGTCTGCATTTTGTTGCTGAACAAAAAATGTCAGCTTTCTCACCAAAATAAAATAAACAATAAAATAAATATAATAAACAGCATTAACTTACCAGGTGCCCGGCAAGCATTGCCTGCATTTTAGCGAGCTCCAAGTGTTGCTGCTGGATAAATTCATGCAGCACAGCATTCCCCGCTGCCGCGCGTTCATTGGATTTGGCAGCTTCTCCCTGCTCCACCAGCACTCGATACTTAAGCTCGTCGAGTTGCTTCTGTAGCCTCTCCACTTGTGTCGTCAGCTCCACCTTCTGCTCTCGCCGAATATCATAAGTGGTTTTGCGCTTCTTGTCCGAGCCGGAGCTCCCCTGTTTGCTGCGCTTGCGAGTGGCTTTCACTGCAGTTTGAGCCTCTGCGTCGTCCTGCAGCCAGACTTGGTAGCTCTCGCTCGAAAAAGTGGCAGCTTCTCCACCGGACGACTCAGAGGAGCGAAGACTGGTCTCCCATGCCGCGGAATCGTGCATGGCGGGCGTGAACGAAGGTCGCGGCGGCATTGGCTTGTTGCTAATCGAATGTGACGTTATTTGAGCTGTTTAGGGATAAGGTGCGCTTGCAGCTGGGATGACTAACAATGAACCGAACTTAGCTCGAGATCTTGTTCGGGATTGGTAGTCTGACTATTTAGTCAGTGACGACTCACCACACTAACTGACGATCCATCGGGTAGTGGTCTCATCACGAAGACCTCTTCTTCGTTAGATCACCAGGCAAACCCCGCGCAATCTCGTTATTCACGGCATGAATACTGTTCATTGCCAGCGCGTCATTAGTTTCTCTTTTTTCGAGCTAATCAGTGATAAAAACGCAGGTAGTTAAAAGGAACAGTAGACTATGAGTGAATGTTCTCGACGTAAGCTTACTGGGCGAAACCTGAAGTGAGAGCGCGGACCCGAACGGCCAGCATACATGTGCGTCATGTAGAGTAAGCACAGTTATCGATTGCCATAGCAACAGTCGTCCACCAAAATCGATGCATGCTCGTTAAATACGAAGCCATCGGTTTTAGTCATGTGAACAATCACAATTTGTGTTGACCATGGAGCCGTTCAAATCGTAACCAGCAGTCCTCAGAATGCTTGTCGCTGTTGATCGCGTGGTGAATCAAGGATTGTACTTCTGGTTTCATTTCACGTCTTCCGACGATATCAATGCAACTACGAAGCAGAACTTCAACCGATCCGCTCCTCGGAACGGCATCGTCATGGCTCGAACTACTTAGCCAAGACACGGTCGAGTGCAGTGACATGAGCAGCGAAGACTCTCGAAACAGTGAGTGTGCACCAGCCAAGCGCCCGAAGAGAAGCATCCAGAAAAGAAAGAGGCCAGCCAAGAAACGCAGAACCTCGTACGATATTCGCAAGCAGCAGAAAGCTGATCTTTTGGCAGAATTGTCAAAACTGGAGAAGCAACTCGAGCTGCTCAAGCACCGCGTACTCATTGAACAGGGTGAAGCGAATTCTACCATCAAACGAACTGAAGTCGCCAATATGGTACTGCAAGAAAGAGCTCAGAATCAACACGTCACGATTGCTGGCATACAGTCGATGCTTGTGTCTCGCATGGTGAGTGAATTTCCGTTGCTAATATCGATTAACCTTCAACACAATTTACCAATTATGTGGTGAACTCTTTGGTCTTGTAGCAGCAAAGTCTATCGGAATTGCAACCTACAGAGATTAAAATTCGGCTCGGCACTGACCGCGCTGAACGTCGGACCACTTTGGTGGCTATGAAGGACCAAAAGCTACGTGAAGCCAAGCGATTTATGGCAACTTGGGGCCAAGATCTCGACACCAATTCGACATTCTCGCAGGAAAACCAGTTCGAATCGCTCGACGGCGGATTCTCAGCTGTACGCGTTGATAACGCCCCCATTCGCGGCACTACCGTCCGAGCTGTGTTCGATGCGATCATCCAGTCCATGCAGAATGCCGAGATCTTGATCTCCGAGCTCTTTGGGAGTATCACCATCAGAGAGGATACTGACTTTGAAGCCGCGGATATTTCTCAAATACGTCTCGTGTCTTCGACTAAACACGGTGCTGTTGTGGAGTCAAACTCAGTCATCTTCTCTGAGTACGTTGAGGAATCCGACGGCTGCTACGGAATCATAGCTGCAGACTTTGTAGACGACGACAAGTTGTATCCTTATCGACCGGAGGAGAGGATCCGACGAGATACGATCACCGCTGTGTTAATACGTCAAGCTCCTGACGATGTCGTGGTCGGTACGCGATGGACTTGCCTCAAGTTAGCACACACACAACTAGATATCCCTAAGGATGGTCTGAACGAGTTGCAAGAGGTTTCCATGGCATGGGGCGACACTATAAAGAAATGCATCATGGAACGGATAGCTAAGAGCAACACCAACGGATATCATTAAAAACAAAATTCACTGAGATAGCGAGTATAAACCTGCACTTTATCTCTTCTGGTGGTTGATGAAGCGCAGCGAAAGCAGAGTGAGCATTCGGAACACTACAATGAAGACCAAAACGATACCAAAGTTGCGCCAGATATCGTCGTGCTTGAGTTTGAAGACCGTCTCGACGTATTCCTTGACTGTAATGTGGTCGATGTTAACTGGGGTGCTCGTCACAGGCTGACAACTCAGTTGAGATCCGCCACCGACGTACTGCTGTGTTGCTTCATCCCACGTCGGCATGTTGTCGCAGTCGCTGAACACCAGAGCGCCCATGATGCCGACGCTATAAGTGTGGGGGGTAATAGCATACAACCACTTGTAGCCACTCGGAATTTCCGTCGCTGGTGGATTAAAACCCATGAACAAGATGAAGATCGAGTTCAGTAATACGCCCATGATCGCAGCGACCTCAATACTCGGCAACAAGTACACGAAGAACTGCCCCATGTAGATCTGCACCAAGATAAAGAATCCCATGTTGATCCAGAAGAACACAGCCGTACCAAATCCCGTAAAACCCGCCATCGGATACCAAATGACCATAAAGAGTAGAGCGCTGGAGAAGCTATAGGGGATTTCAGCCACCGTAGAGCCCACAAAATACCAGAGAGCATTGTAGCTTTGAGACGCGCGTTCTCGGTAGAATGAAGCGCGTTCCTCCGACGTAATGGGGAGAACGCTGTTGAACGAGATGATACCGTTAAACAGAGCAACCGAGAAGATCATACCCACGCCTCCATTGAGTCCCTGGTAGCTCGTGTAGTCTACATCGACGAACAGCAATCCGAACAGGAGACTCAGAATAATCGCGATGATGAACCGTGTGATGTTGTACGATGGTGTACGCCAGTAAATCCGCATGAAGCGAGTGATGAGGAAGCGAGCTTGAGTCCATGACGAGGCAGCACGCTTACGACTGAAGGTCATTTCGGAGACACCAGGAGACGGGAATGCGACGCCTTCCTTATTGAGATTTAAGTCCAAAACTCGCTTCTCTTCACTCTCGTTGAAATACTGAACAAAGTCAACATCATTCGTTGCGTTGTTGCCTACTCCAGCACCGATACATTCGAGCATCCAAGTGGCGGGGTTGTAGCCCTCCAGCAGCTCCGGAGTGCCCGGAATTCTCCCAAAGTAGTCGATCAAATGCTGGCAATTCTCACCAAGATCACCGAAGAAAACCGTCTCGCCACCGCGTTTAAGCAGCAACAAACTGTCAAACAAGAGAAACACTTCGGTAGACGGCTGGTGGATCGTACACACGATAGTACGGCCGCTGTCAGCCACCTTACGAACGCCATCCATGATCATTTTGGCTGAGCGAGCATCCAAGCCACTCGTCGGCTCGTCCAGGAAAATCACACTCGGTTGTGCAGCCAGCTCAACTCCGATCGTCAAGCGCTTCATCTGCTCCATTGAGCTGCCTCGAATTATTTGGTCGGCGATGTTGTGCATATCCAAGAGGTCCAGACACTCGTTCACCGAGTCGTATTTCTTGCTGTCAGGAACGCTGCTGTATTGACGAAGGAATGAGCTGAATGTGAGAGCTTCTCGGAACGTAGCGGCTTCGGAATGAATGTCCATTTGCTCGCAATAACCCGTTGATCGTCGAATGGCCAGGTCTGTAGCTTCGTAGCCGTTAAGCAGGATCTTGCCGTTGATGGTCCCTTCCGTCTTCCGACCGGCAATCACGTCCATCAGTGTCGTTTTTCCAGCACCAGAAGAGCCCATAAGTGCAGTGATGGAGCCTGGCAAAGCAAACCCACTGATGCCTTTCAGCAAGTCAAGCGATTCTTTCGGGTTAGATGGCGATTTGACCGAGTACCACAAGTCTTGAAAGGCCAGCGTCACCGGGATAAAACTCTTCTCCTGCTCCTTAACATCGAGAATTGCTGAGTCCTTGACGATTGATCCTGCCTTGGGTGTTGCCAACAGTGCATAGCTGCCGTCATCTGCTGCCTCCTTCTTCGATAACACCACGTGCTCGGGACTTTCGTATCTCTTGTACTCGAGTGCAATGAATCCAAGACCCATAAACGCCGTGTACGCTACAACCATGAAGATAGCACCACACGCGATCCAATATTTCTCGGAGGAAACTTCGAATAACGACATGTAGTACTCGCCCATATTCATCCCAAACTGCGCGCAATAGTCTGTTCCTTCATACACACAAACATCGAACGTAGCTGAGCGATACTGATTGACTGCCATCGCCCGCAGACACCACGAAATAGGGTCGATCCAGTAAATCCAGATGAAATAATCCGGTATTTGGTCTTTCGAGACGACGAAGCCAGCGAAAACAATGAAGAAAACGATCGAGATCATGGCAATAGGCTTCGAAACGTGGATGTCTCTGGCAATAGCCGTAACGAAGAAGAACCAGGCTGCAAACGCCATGTTCGTCAGGATCAGTAGAACCATGAAGATAACGAAATGCTCGGCAGAACTCACGAAGCCACAGAGCCAATAGATCAACGTGCCAAACACCAAACTCTCGCCCGCAGCAAACGGTAGTTGGGCGACGGAACAGGAAAGCACGTACGCCGATGAACGGTAGAAATTTGCACCGCGTTGCTTGTAGAAAATGTCTCGGGCTGCCATGAACGTTGGGATCTGGGAAGCCTGACCAAGAGCCAAGAAGAGAATTGACTGAAACAAGACTCCTAGCATCACTTGGACGTTCTTCGGATCGACGTCCCAGAACGTGGACGCATTGATCAGCCCCATGACGATGATAATGATTGCTCGGCCACGAAGAAAGGCTGTGTTCCTTACGGTCAGCATCGCTTGTCTGCGCATAAGTGTGGCTGTGTTCTCCCAGAAAGATTGTTGGAATTCCGGGACTGAATCCATATCCTCAGCCTTGGTGTCCAGTAGTTCTTGTCTGTGAGGTGCCTCCATTTTACGCAGCATGTTCTGGTGAACTCTCGACTGTCGGAAAATGCTGCCAAACTCGCTGGGTATAAGTGGGAAGGTGGTTACTCCAACGGGTAATGATTGCTGGTATTGACGTTGCTGCTTGGTTCCAAGATCCAGCAAGTAGTCGGCCAGGTCCCGTCCAGGAGGTCGAACAAACCCCATCGACGCGAAGTAGCTCTCCACTTCCTCTCGAGGCCCATGATACATCACTTCACCTTCGTTCAGGATCAGCACGTCGTCAAAGAGATCAAAGACCTCGGGAGCAGGCTGGAGCAGCGCGATCACGACTGTCTTGTTCAACTTGGTAGCCACACTACGCTGCATGTTGATGATGTCGAACGTGGCAGCACTGTCCAAACCGGTACTGATCTCGTCCATCAAGACCACAGTCTTTGTTCCGAACTCCATTTCTCCAGTCGTGACTCGCTTGCGCTCTCCACCCGACACACCGCGATGCATCACATCCCCGACAATCGTGTCCTGGCAGTTCTCGAGACCGAGTTGACGGATAACAACATCCGGGTAGTGATCAGAAAGGGCTTTCGAGACGTTCAAAGCATTCATGTTTTCCTCAACCGAGCCCTTGGTAAGCCGTTGTTCTCCTTCGTGAATCAACTTCTTACCAGCGAACTCATGAGCGAACTCCAGCGTCTCCTTCACGGTCAGCAAAGGGAAGTGCTTATCGCGTTGGGGGACGTAGGACACCAACTGCGGTAGACGCTTCGAAAGGTTCTCGAGCAGCTCACCATTGTAGGTCACGGCACCTTCCACCGTGACGTTCTTGTCCTTGGGGAACCGACCGCTTAGAATCTTCATCAACGATGACTTACCAGATCCAGGTTGGCCCAGAACGAGCGTGATGGTGCCCGGCTTGAAGACTCCACTGACATTCTTAAGAATCTCTTTGCGGACAACGTTCTTCTTCGATGAGAAGGCTGTAGTTTTCTTCTTGATCGAGTTCCAGAGTGTTGGTAGTTCGTGGGTCGTGTCGTCATCTGCCACGACGATGTCAGCCGAGATGGACAGGTTGCTGAAGCGTATTTCCGTTTGAGGCAGCGAGCGCCCCATTGCAGCCTCGAATCTTGTCGCGATATGGTCGTGCAATGCGTGAGGGCCATGGGCCATGAGAGCGGCGCCTGACTCAAGGCCAGGCTTGTTTTCAGACACCATGGCGATGAACGTCCTTGTTGGCCTTGAATTCACGTGGTAAATCGTAGAGTGAATGAAACCAATGCGTTCAAACCTGCTGTGGTTACCGCAGAGGCGCTGTCCTAGCCAGCAGAGGTCATGTGGTGACGCGTGAATCAACTTTCGGAAGATTGTTCACCTTCAACATGGTGAAACGTGAAACCTTCACTTGAAGCTACAAGCCAACAATCTTGTCGAACAATCCAAATCCTGGATGACCACTCTGACAAGTGTGAACAAACCGTAAACGGTTTAGTCACACATATGATACCTGCCAACTTTACCATGGTATTCACTTGTTGCAGTGCGTGCACAAGTGCTCACCGAATGCAGTCAAATCGATCTGTGTCGCTCTGCGAAGCCCTAGCACCTGTTAGCAGCACGAGGAGTCCAGCTTGCTAGGCTAGCAATGCTAGCACACATTCGATCATCATAACTTAATCAGCCTTCGACGACCAGCATTACACCACTTATCTCAGGTCAAAATGGCGAAGACAGTCACGCTCTTGTTCGCGCATGGTGCAGGCTTTTGTAAGGAGATCTGGGAGCCCATTACGCGCCGACTACGAGAGTCTCCGCTACTGCAAAATGCTGCAGTGCAGACTGAATACATCAGCTTCGATTTCAAATATCACGGTAGCAACCGAGACGAGTCCGAGACGCCTCGAATGGACCTCTCTGACCCCACGTCTCCGCGAGTGTACCATTCTGCAGGCGATTTGACAACTTGGACCACGGCGGAGATGCTACAGCGAGTGCGTGCTCTCAAAAGCACACACCCAGAGCGAGCTTTGATCGGAGTCGGCCACTCGATGGGTGCTTGTGCACTCTGGAACACGGAGATACACCAGCCTGGCACTTTTGACGGACTCGTTCTGTTTGAACCAGTCTTTGGGGATATGAACGTTGACCCAGTCACAGACTTCCTGGTATCGATCACGCTGCAGCGTCAATCTTCATGGTAAGGACTATTTCGGTCGGACACTAGGGGCTTTGTATTGATTTCTTTACTCTAGGCCAACACGGGAGGCAGCGGAAAATCATCTTCGCAGTTTCAAGAACTTCACTGCTTGGGATCGAGAGTCCTTGGAGGCTTATATTAAAGGCGGCCTCGTTGAAGACAAGTCAACGGGGAGGGTTGAACTGGCCTGCAGTCCTGCAATGGAGGCCTCGCTGTACTGCCACAAACTCATGTTCTGCCCCGATGAGCAGCTCGCCCGTGTCAAGTGCCAAGTTTTCTTCCACAGTGGAAGTCGCTCCAAGATGTTCCTGCCGTCGATATTCGAGGAGATGAATGAGAAGTGGCCTCACATCTATTCGGTGGGGAAGCCCATTTCACGCTGCTCGCATGTCATGATCATGGAGAAACCAGACGCAGTCGCGAACAAAATATTAGAGAGTTTGAGAGAGCTTAAACCATACCGCAATGCCGCGTACTCGCGTCTATAGAGTGGTTTTAGACTCGAACGCCATTGTCTCACGTAACATTCCTAACTTCGCAAATGTAACAATCAGCGTTTCTGATTATCCACATCATGAGCCGTTTACTCAACACGCCCAAATCTCTCCAACTCAGCATCGGACCATCATAATCGATTTGCCTATCTCCAACACACTTGCTACAATGTCCAAGGCTGCGACGTTGCTGTTTGCCCATGGCGGCGGCTTCTGCAAGGAAACGTGGGAGCCCATTGTGCGTCGCTTGAAGAACTCCTCTCTTCTGCAGACTGTCGACACGAAGTTCGAGAGCTTCGACTTCAAGTATCACGGCAGCAATCGGGACGAGTCGGTGGAGGCTAAAATCGACCTGGACAACCCTGCTAGGCCGAGAGTATACCACCCAGCATCCGACCTGACTGCTTGGACCTCTGCAGAGGTGTTGCAACAAGCTCGTACGTTGAAGAGCAAGAGCGTCGATACTCCTTTGATCGGTATTGGCCACTCGATGGGAGCTTCAGCCATGTGGAACACCGAGGCACAGTACCCGGGCACCTTTGATGGTCTCATCTTGTTCGAACCGGTGTATGGCAACCTGAACTCCGACATCGTCACTACTTTCCTCGTGTCTATCACATTGCAGCGAGAATCTTCGTGGTAATTATATGTAGGTATGAGTATTTTTGTGACCTCCCTTGCTAACAAATAATTCTGTGCAGGCCCACGCGAGCTGCAGCGGAGGAGCATCTGCGTAATTTCAAGAATTTTGCGAATTGGGACCGCGAGTCGCTGGACGCTTATATGAAAGGAGCCCTCGTGGAAGACGAGAAGACGGGAAAGACTGTACTGGCTTGCAGTACGCCCATCGAGGCCTCGCTTTACTGCCACAAGCTTCTGCACATGAACGACCAGCAGCTCGCAAAGCCGAAGTGCCAGATCTTCTTCCACTATGGCAGTCGCACCAAGATGTTCCAACCCCCCGTCTTTCAAGAGCTCAGTGAAAAGTGGCCGAGCATCTACACACTGGAGAAACCCATTGCCAATTCGTCCCACGCAATGGTCCTGGAGAAACCGGCAGAATCGGCGCAGAATATTTTGGACAACCTGCAACAGCTCGAGCCATTCAGAGAGGAGCCCCAACTCAATGTTGCAAGTGCTTCTCGAATGTAGACTGCATGAATACACGGTGCTCACCAAAAATGTAAACCTCTATAATTGCGAGATGTTCACTTCTCTATAATTACATAATTTGAATTTCTTGTGAACCACACCGAAAAAGTTAGATGAAACACAATGTGCGATACATCAATGTACCCATCTTGAGGATGGAGGCGCTGCTTGCGAAGGCGTCGACGCTGCGCTCATTCCTGCGGAGGTAAGAAAGCCTTATGCCTGCAGCTACAGCTTCTACACTCTTACCATCATACCATCTGGCTGGCTAAAGGGCTGCTGAGGAGCGCATCGCCAATGGAGACCTCACTCTCGAGCAAAACCTCTCCAAAGTGACAAACCAGGATGTAGTCTTCGCCTTGGACCATACATTCCTCATCCAGTCTCACACTACAGGAGTAGATGTGCTGCCCCGCTCTCCCTGGAGCTGTGGAACGAGCATCTCACATGTAGATAATTGGAAAAACTAGTCAAAAGGTAGAGGTTTTAAAGTAATTAACTTTTTTTTTCGTGGTTTGTAGACGGAATTGGTGCACCATGTCATTGAGCGGCTTCTAGCACGGAAGAGAGCGATGAATTGGGAGGACGCAAACATTCTGACGCTTGGGTATCGAGAGGCGACTCCGGGGGCTGCAGGTCATCGAGTGACGCAGTCGAACGGGATTGTATGCTACTACCCGAATACACTGGTGGCTGCGTTGAAGAAACCTTTGTGGGGGTCCTTACACGAGCTAATGGGGGATGACCTCGTGACGCATTTACTACTGAATTATACCATTTTTGTGCAATTAAAGGAGAATCCAGACTCGTTCATACAGGTATTAAGGCAGGAAACCTTTGAAACGAAGGTGTTAATCGGTACTGATGCTTTGGTTGGAACTAGCTTACTGGGAAGAGTTTGCGTCAGCAAAAGCGCCAGACGATGAGCGATTCGGTCGATACTACGAAGCGAAACGTGTCGATCAACCACGTGATGTATGCGCGTTCTTTTCGGAGAGATCGAGTGTTTGCGAGCTCCCATTTCCTGGTGAAGGCGTCCAAGACAGGAGACCCGATCAGCAGAACTGAAGCTTCACGAGTCCTTCGGTCGATTTTTCCCGATACTGCAGGCCAAAAGCGATTGTCGAAGCGTTTGATTAATCTGATTCCGACTATACAGACTATGGTGTCGAGGTTCAAAGCCTGTCAAGTCGAAGAGCTGGCCAAGAAGATCGTCCCGGTGAACGCTGATTTCCGCAAGTTTATGGCAGATAACCCGGATATCAAGCGGAAAATCACGGAGAGAGCTGCTGATGTAAAAACATCGTCGCAAACGATGATCCTTCCGATACTGCGCAAGTCACTGGAAGATGGATATCTGAGTCAAAGTGACGGTGTGGCGTCAAGCTCTGAGCGAAAACGCAAGCGAAGAGAAGAAGCAATTGAAATGCTATCACATGTATCGGTGAGCTCTTCGAAAAGTCCGGACGAGGCTGTTCATAATGGAAAGAAACACAAAAACGATACCAGTCAGCAACATTTCAATGAAGTGTCAGATCTGACAAAGTTGCAGCAGCACAAGGAGGACATCAAGAAGTTGCTGGCGTTTGCGACTCCAAAGAAGAAAATTTATCGGCTGATCCGGAAGTTTATCGTTCAAGTTGTACCGAAAGAAATGTGGGGCGATAGCGACACCAAGAACTGGAAGTGCGTGAAGATACTACTGCGAAAACTCATTTTTTCGCGGAAGTTCGATGTCTTTTCGCTGAAAAAGGTAAGCGCCTGTACTTGCTGATAACCAGGGATGGCAATATACTTACTGTGTCTCTTGTGTAGTGTGCAGACGAGTTCCAGGTGACGAAGGTGAAGTGGATGAATGTTCAACACAAAGGAAAATACTGGTATGTCGTTCAGATTCAACCTTCATATTAATACCGCTTATCAACATGTTCGTGTTTTGAATTTAGCCCGCCAAACGAACGCGTCAAGTGTCTTGAGCTCTTGCAGGATTTACTGTGGTGGATGATATCGTCGCTGGTCTTCCCATTGTTGCGAAACTTGCTTTATATTACTGAGGCTGAGGGACTGGCGAACGAAATAGCATTTTACCAGCGACCAGTGTGGAATGTGATCAGGTACCAAAACATTTTACTATCGAGTTGTGTACTACTTCGTTCTAATACTCAATTGTGCCATGCAGTGCGCTTGCTCTCTCCGACTTGGAAGGAGGACTCCTACAACCTGCCAGCATTGAAACCTTGCCAAGCGAACGTCAATTGGCTACCTCTCGAATGCGATTGCTACCAAAACCTAATGGAATTCGTCCGCTGATGAATTTATCCACAGCTACTGATCCAACCAAAGTCTCAGTGAACAGATCCATGGAAGCTGTTCATCGAGTCCTGATTTTTGAGATGGAGCGACAGCCAAAGCTTCTTGGAGCTTCAGTTCGAAACATCGACGAGATTTACAAGCGACTCAAGCCATTTTTCCTCCAGATCTCGCAATGTCCTTGCTGTGCAGAGCGGCGACGTGTATGTGGTGACACCCCAATGGCTTACTGCGTGACTGTGGACGTCGAACGCTGCTTTGATACGATTCGACCTCGAAAACTTTATCAGATACTCAAGAAGGCGATGAAAGAGGATGAATATCTGATCCGGAAGCATTGGGTTGGACACCAAGTCGCCCCGGTCTCGTCTTCAACAGATAGTAATGAATCCTTACCGGCGTCTTCGTTCTTCTTTAAGCTAGAGCGTCCAGCCTGTCCGTCTGGTGAGCTACTGGGTTTCGATGAACTTGCAGCTCAGTCCAAGAAGAAGAACTCACTGTTAGTAGACGGGGTTCTCTATGACTACCTGACCAAAACCAAGGCGCTCCAGTTGTTAAAGGAGCATTTATCCTCGAATGTCGTTCAGATGGAAGGCCACGAGTACGTTCAGCGATGTGGAATACCGCAAGGTTCCGTGCTCTCCACGACGCTGTGCAACATGTACTATGCTCATTTTGAGCGGCGAGTACTTCGCAAACGTTTGCCAGAGGTGTGCGACCCAGCTATCGTACCGGTTTCCTGTTGTCAACACGAGGAATTGCTTCGATATATCGATGATTTCATGTTCATAACGACGGATCTCAAGAGAGCGAGGAGGTTTTTCGAAGTGATGCATGAGGGCAATGAGGAGTATGGATGTTGCGTAAATGTTACGAAAAGTCAAGCAAATTTTGAAGTCGATAGTAGAAGTGAACAAACGCCAAGTGGATTCATATCGTGGTGTGGCATGTTGATCGACCCGAAAGATCTTCAGGTCTACGTCAACTACGAAAAGTACGTTCGGTTGGGTCGGTATATGACGTTGCAGTTGATGTACTAACAGTTTAATGTTGTTGTAGACTAAGCAGCTCGTTATTGCAAAGCTCGATCCCGTTTAACGAGACGAAGACGGCACAGGATATTTTTGTGGACAAAGTGATCTCTCCGATTCGACAGCGATGGCATGCGCTGTATTTTGACCCCGAGTTGCTATCGGATGACTCCATTCGTGTCAACCTGTTTCAGATGCTACTCGTGGCAGCGCATAGGTTCACGATTCTCATCGACGTGTTGCCTTTCGTTAACCGTGATATGAACTTCTTTCATAATTGTATGCTGCGGGTTTTGAAGAAGATGACGAAGGGCATTCATCACAATCTCAAGCTGGGTTTGGACTCTGCCTGCACCAAGACCAGAGAGCCTCGAAATCGGTCTAAATTAACGTATGAGGGAATGAAAGAACAGGTACGTGCAATTCTAAAGAACGTGTAGAAATTTTAATCAAGCGCTTAATGGTTGGTACTGTGCTACAGGTTTGGACGGTAGGACTGTTTGCGTTCTGTCTCGTGATCGAATCCAAGCGTGACCAAGTCAAGGGGAGCAGTGCTGGATATGGTAAAGAACAATGCCGATGGTTGGAGTGGCAGAAACTATTGGACAGCATCCAAGTTGAGCGCGAAAAAATCAAGGTGTGCGCGAAATGTACTCAAAGTACTGTGCCGTTCAGCTTGGAATGGTTGTTGCAGGACCGGCGCAATGCATGCGCATTGAAGCAGTACAAGCAACGTGGCTTGACATAAGACGCAACTCTTTCGAGTCCAACGAAGAGAATCCGCGGATGACAAAGTAAAATTCTGATTCTATCATGTTGCGCAAATGCAAAAGCCAGATAACGTACTTTTAACGTACTGTACAGTTGGTTCAGTGGTCATCTATTGTAAAACCGTTTTATGTAGATTACAGGATCATTGATGGCGCAACCCAAATGGACTGTCGATGCAACAGTTTGCTGTCTTCTTTGGTGTGTTAACAATAAAGAGTGAACTCTTCCCTGGCCAATAAAAATAACTTGCATGTTAGAAGACAGAAAGGAGACGATAGCCGCTGTACATTGCTTCACCGTTCGTGCGGGCCGCTTGACCGTCAACTTGTATCTTCAATCCGCTTTTCCATTAACTTAATGGAAGAAACGGATTGACTGTTTGTAGTTTGAATTTTTCAAATCAACACAATCAATCCAAAGATAGTTTTCTTTGATTAGGAATGGTCAACACCATTTGTGATTACCAGGCAGAAGAAATTACAGTCCTATTTTATTATACTTGATTATTTTAATAATTAAAAAAAACATTTTTCTTAGTGCATCTTGTACACTATATCAAAATATTGGCTCACGTTTAAAGTATTTTAAGGCACATGTATGTATCCTATATGTCATTAGCTTAGTAATGCTCAGTTATCGTAGCACGGCGTGTTTACATGTTAGATAGGTAATAGACGCTATATTGCAAAGATTTCTCAACGAAAATGATCACCGAACAGAGAAATATACGGCAAAGTCGAGCAAACACCGAGAAAGTATTAGTAAAACTGACGACGCAGCTAAGGCTACTTATCAACTGAGAATCATAATATTGAGTTGCTGAAAATTTGATCGTTGCACGTCCATATTTCCAATTTGGTGGAACCCTGATGCTAAGCTGATAACTATTATTAATACACTGGAAAATCGCAATCGATATTTCTGCTTACTCCTCGATGCTTAGCTCATGCGGTTGATCTGCCGCCTAGCGTGCTCATTTCAAGTTTCACCCGCTATGCCGAAGGCACCAAAACAACCAGTAACTCCTCTCATTAGTGGCCGATTAGGCAACCGAACGAGATAGGATATGCAGAATCTATTAATACCTGATGATATAAGCTGTATAATCAAGTCACACTTTAGTAATTTGATTCGTGCTAACCCTACTGAATAATATGGTAGTGATGCATTTACATGTACATGATTACAGTAACTAGTCAGATTGCCAATCTCGATCAAGATCTTCAACGCAATTCTGTTCACCGTTAGTCATGTTGTCTGCACGTGTCCGTACGCGTGCCATATCCCTCCAGCGACTCAGGTAACGTCACTACTGGATAGCAAAACTTCATGCCACCACAACCTTCGTTTAACGATTCCTTGCTTTGGGAAACCAGTATCCACCTACCCGAGCCGTCCGGTGAAGACACTACCACGCTTTTGGGCAAGGGTTACCAACTCCCGCTGCAACACGATTTAGATGTCGTACCAGCCAGTCGTAAGCGAAGCAACAAGGAAATTTCCAACTCAGGAAAGAAGCGTAAAACTACGTATGATGTGCGGCGAGAACAAAAGGTGGAGCTCACAGCACAAGCCGAAGAGCTGCAGAAACAGCTTGATGAGCTCAAGTTTCGAGTACTAGTGGAGCATGGAGAAGCTGCCAAGTGCAATGAGCGAGTGGCAGCGGGGAATGCAGTGCTGCAAGAGTTCATTCAGCAGCAGCATTTGGAGCTCGCGAAAATGCAGGCAATGCTTGCCAGACACTCGGTAAGATAACTGCCCTGTGACGTTGTTGAAGTGGGAAATCGCTAACATTCTCTCAGCAACAAAATGTTGACTCATTGCATCCAGCGCAAACTATGATTCGGTTGGGAAAAGACCCAACTGAACGCCACAACGTACTGGCAGCACTCAAAGGCAAAAAGTTGCAAGAGGCGAAGCGATTTATCACGACGCGAAGCCAAGGGCTGGACCCCAGGTCTTCGTACACCCAAGAAGAACGAAACCACAGTGACACCTTTTGCCAAGTGAATTTTGAAAACATGATCGTTAAGGGAGCTAGCGCTAGGGAAGTCTTCGACGCTTTCATCGACGTATCTCAGAACGCTGAAATCATCATTTCCGAGATGTTCGGCGGCATTACTATCCGAGAAAACAATGACACAGACAAACGAGATATCTCACAGATGCGTTTGATGACTTCGACTACGCTGGGAACCGTGGTGGAGTCCAATTCAGTCATGTTTGCGGAGTTTAAGGAGGCAAAAGATGACCAAGATGAAAGCTGTGGAGTGATTGTAACAGACTTTGTCGATTCGGATGAGCTGTATCCCTACAAACCGGAGGAAAGGGTTCGACGCGACGCGACTTCTGTGTTCATGATACGTTCATTCAAGGACAAAGCGAAAGATTCAGATAATAAAGAACTCCTGGTTGTGGCTACTCGGTGGGTTTGCTTCAAGATCCGAGGCGGCGAAAGCAATCTCTCAGCTGACCCACTGCAAGAATTACAAGAGAGTACTGTCTCCTTTGGTGGTACCATGAAGAAGAGCATCCAGCAGCGATTGGGTAATGTGAACTTGTACGACGAGTAGTGTCTCATTAAACACTTATTGGAAGGCGCCTAATTTGGGCGCCTGACAAAGCAATTGGTGCTTTTGCTATTAATAATATCATTTTCATGAAGTTGGATTATTTACTTGTGTACTTCGCGAATTTTTTTTAGTTCTTCCGCTTACACTTCGTGAGTTACATGTGCACCTGGAATAGGTGTTGTAAACATCACATCCGTAAATGCGTAAGATGAGTCCGTAAATAAATTATGTACGGAAACTCAGAAAACTAGGGCTTCGCTGAGGCAGATAGGAAAGGTAACCCTCAAAACAATGGGGCAGACATAACTTGATTTTGTATAAAATTGAATAATACGGCCGCTGAATACGAAGTTTCAATACAAAGCCTCACCCGAGTTCCATAGGGCATTCGTAACCCCTGCTGAGCGTCGCAAACCCTCCACCGATATGCATGTATTGAATCATTAGATGATAGAGGCTGCAGTTGTTGTCCTCAGGTCTGAACTTCATAAGATTGAAGAGTTCTAAGAAGCGGGCTTTTTTTTTTTTTTTTTTTTTTTTTACTAGCGAGCCACACGAGCGACAGAATAATGAATTACGGTAACGCAATTAGCGGGCGACGATATCTGGCTACAGGGGAGGCTGTATTTACGACAATCTTTCAATAAAGCCCTTTAAATCACAAAATAATGGCCCTGCATTTTAGGACACTTACATTTGTTCAAGCACTCTATCCATTGTCTAGCCGGATCATTTGCTTCTACTGCTGACTTCTAGCACAAAGAAATCCTGCACCTTAGTCTTTCTGAAATACGAATGTGATAGATGTAAACTAAATTATTCTGAAAGAAATCCTGCACCTTACACCTGGTTGGTCGAGAGTCTTACTGAAATACGAATGTGATAGGTGTAAACTAAATGATTCTGGAGTATTGGCATGATCTTTTCGTTTCTCAGTGATGTCAATTAGGCCACCGTGAAGTTGACAAGTGTTCACAAGAAATCAATCCATCAGATAAACTGTACAGTCGGTATTTTAACCGACGCTTACGAATTATGCTTTATGGGGGCATTTTTGCATCGGTAAGAAACCGGTTTGTACGGAAAGTACCGAATTTAGAGGTATGTTTGCACCGGTACGTAACCAGTATGTACTGACAGTACCGGCCCATTCTTCTGGGTGGCATATTTGCACCGGTATGAAAACCGCGATGTCACTGACAGTACCGACTCAATCGCAATATTCCTCCTATCTCAGTATTTTTTTTTTTTTTTTACTGTAGTTGTATTTATTTGGGTTCCTTACCATCCTTGCTCGTGTCCACCATGATGTTATACAAGGCAAAGTTCATTCGTCATCTAGCTGATTTAGTGGCTCATGGATAATCGAGCGATCGTCGCTGTGCCGGGACTTCATCATGACTGGTGACTTCACTCTTCATCAAACTTCGACTCAGTCACGGACGAAGCACAACTTTACTTTTCCTTTCATGCCGCACAGACCCAACCGCATGCAGCAAAAAATACGATTTGCCTTTCTGTTTTCTCGGCCAACGATCCTCAACCCAGCGTCACGAGTAACGATACAGAGGCACCTGGTGTGGCAGTTGACTGTGCAGTACAGCAACATTGGTTGCGCACCTACACTGGATAGACCCTGTCTCTAGCCAGCTGCTGCGCAAACTCAGCGCGGAGCTCAATTGGCGATGGTGCGAGGAAAGTCTCCGTTATTCCTTGATTGGCAACCAGCGTTGAACCACTCGGCCGACGCCTGTGACGCCCGTAGGTACATTTCCAACCGCTACTGGACACACCTGCTGCCTTCAGCGAACACGCCGTGCGTGGCGACTCTGTCCCGCATCGTGAATGGATGATTCGACTCACTACGACTGGACTCTGACGTACGTGATCGTGCTGGCGGTGGCTACAGCGACGACGGGCACCACGTTGCTCCTGTCTTTCAAGCATATTAAGGTAGGCGACTCGGCCGTTCAGTACATCACGTACTCGGTGTGCCGCCTGTACTTCATCTACTCGCTCGCTCGACTTTTACTCTACGTGGGTGTACTCACTAATTTCGACGGACTGCGGGACACTCTAGACGCACTTGACGATGGAGAATTAATGGGGGCGCGTGCCATCTATTCCGACGGGAAGCAATTCAAGGCTGTTGCTGTCACTATCACGTTAATCGGTGACTGTGCGCTACTGTGTACGACGTTTTTCATCACGACGTTGGCTTACGAGATGAAGCGCCTCATCATCAAGTCCATGGATCGTGGATTCAAGCGTGAACGTGCTATTATTCGTCAGTACTGCTTCCGTGCGTCCTTCATGGCGGTGGTTTTTGCAATTTTGATGGCTATATCAGCGTTCCTACCACCCGACGATTCGAAAACGCTGCAAACTGTTGCCTTCTGGTTCGAACTGGTTTGTGTTTGGGTATCTGTGCTATACCCTTTGTACGCTGCAATATGGATCTCACGTCAAAAACGTGCTAGAAGTGCTGTGGACCCAGCGTCATTACTACTTCACCAACGCATCAAGACGTTTGTTATCGTGTACTGTGTGCTGGTATTCCCGTCCTGTGTAGTGGAAGTACTGGCTCGCCTTATTGACGACCTCAGCATGGAATGGGTCGGGTTGACTCAGATCCTCTATTACTTGTCCGGTGCAGGCACAGCCTTCGCTATCGGCATCAGCGTCACGTGCTGCTATCGTGCTCTACGGCCTCTAATGTCCTCCTCTGTATATGAACAGCTTCTGGAAGGCGGGTACTTCCAAGACGAACAGGGTCTAGATACACTGGACGTGATCGTGGAGGCTCCTACCCGTCGACCAATCTTCGTAGTCACCGATATTGAAGGCTCCAGTCGCCTATGGTCCGGCAACTCGCAGGCAATGGCCGATGCGCAATCGATTCACGACGACTTGTTACGTCAACAACTGCCTCGTTTCCGAGGCTACGAGATCACGACGGCGGGTGATTCCTTTCAGCTAGCGTTCCATTGTGTCCGTGACGCCATCGGCTGGTGTGTCAGCGTACAAGAGAAGTTGTTGAAGGCGTCTTGGCCGACTGAATTGCTTAAATACGACAACGCAGCGCGAGTGTACGATATCTGGACGCGACTGCTTTTCAACGGACTTCGAGTGCGCATGGCAATCCACGACGGGGACGAGCGGTTGGTGTGCTCGAGACACCCGACCACGGGCAAGATGACCTATCTGGGGCTCAGCGAAATGATGGCGCGCGAGATGAGCGAGATGGGGCAAGGAGGACAGATCGTCATGAGCGAATCGGCTCTCGCTGTTTACAAGGACGAACTGCTTCAGACATCGTCAAGTGTTGGAAGCGGTGGAACGGCTGAGGAGAAGTTCAAAGTGCAGCCGTTCCCGAAAAACTTTGAGCAGCCGGAATGGGGCATTTCACTGCAAATGCACGAGGTGGTGTCCACTAGAATTGGAGACCGCTTCAACTCTCGACATAGCGAGCGACTGCGCTTCCTGCCGCACTTCTGGAGCGACGATTCGTCCACACGCACCCGGCGTGACAAAGCAGACACGACATTTACACCCAGATCGTGTTGAAGCTGTACACACGGTATTGCATATCACTAACGTACATTACAACAAAGTAAACTGGATAATCATAATACAAAGCTACTTTTTATTCCATCACTTTACTATTCCAACTTACAATATATAAATTAATTCTAAACACTTGTAAACTTCATAAAAGTATTTGTACTTAACCTACCCTCGCCGTTTGCACGTGTCGATGTATCGCTCTCTCTGGCTACCATCAGGCCATCCCTATCATTGTCCCTACGCTACGCTACGTCGGACTTTCGAATTCCTTCCGCCCCGGCATCACAAGCTCATCAAAATCGTCTCTGTGTGGTGTTACTGACTTCTGGGAGCTTGATGCGGCGTCGGGACAGCGACCTGATGTCGCTGGTGCGTCCACCGCGTTCCTCGCGTCTCAGCTACAGCTACAGCCAATGCAGCAGTCGAAGTCGCAGCGGCAGCTTCGAGAGCGACGTGCGGTGGTCGGAACGGGCCTCCAGTATCGCTCCCAGTGACTTGGACGGCTCTGAGCTCCTGGACGTAGATGATTTGCAAGTATTACAGCAACAAAACGCAAGTGATGGACGGCAGACTGTGCGTGTCACGGTTCGCTTCCGTCCTCTGCTGCCCAAGGAGAAGAGCAGTCGGTCCGCCTGGACGGTTCACGCAGAGACCGGTACAGTCGAGGCAGCTCCCGTATCAGGACAGAACGCTCGACGTAGAGGCGTCTACGCCTTTGACGAAGTGTATGATGCTCAGCACTCTACTAGAGCCATCTATGACGGACTGGCGAGGTCTATCGCTCGCTCGGCGCTGGACGGAATCCACGGGTCCATTTTTGCCTACGGACAGACCAGTAGTGGCAAGACGTACACTATGCAGGGTACAGGGCTGAGGAGCAGGAGAATGACTCTGGTACAGGAGAAAACAGTGGAGACCGAGGAGGACAGACGACCCGAAGACAGCGATGGACTGGTACAGTTGGCAGTCAAGGATCTGTTCGATGAGATGGCGCGACGCTCCGATGTCGAGTACCTTGTGAGAGTGTCGTACTTGGAAGTGTATAATGAGACAGTTAAGGACTTACTAGCGACTGGAACGACCTCAACAGGCAAGAGGAGAGACTCGACTGTGCATATTCGCGAACATCCCGTCACTGGAGTGTTTACGGACAACTCGGAGCGAGTCGTCACAGATGCACGTGGAGTGCTACAGGCATTACGAGATGGTGAGAAGCAACGGGCAGTGGGCGTTACCCGTATGAACGAGCGCAGTAGTCGATCTCACTCGATATTCAGAGTGGTTATCGAGTCCAAGACGCGCCTCGAGTCACCCGTGCCAACCGAGGATGATAATGTGGAACGTGTCCGTGTGGGATGTCTGAACTTTGTTGACTTAGCAGGGTCAGAAAGTGCTCGTGCGGTTAGTTCGGGAGGCAAACGCCTCACAACAGAGAGTGGTAACATTAACAGAAGCCTGTTGGCACTCTCGAGAGTTGTGGTGGCGCTCGGCAGCAGCAAGGTCAATCAGGACCACATCAACTTCCGTGACAGCAAACTCACACGTATTTTACAGCCGTCACTGAGTGGTGCTGCGCGCGTACTCTTTGTGTGCTGTGCATCACCTGCACCTACCTACATTGAGGATACTCGCAGTACGCTCAAGTTTGCTAGCCGAGCGAAGCGGATCAAGGTGAACGCGTCAGTTAATGAAGTCGTGGACCAACGCTCCCGTGCATTGATGGAGCTAGCACGCGAGAACCAGGTGTTAAGGCAGCAATTAGAGGCTTTGGCCTCTGCGAGTCGTGATGAGATGGACGCGATGGAGGAACATGCCGCTCGGTTACGTATGCGTATTATCTCTCTGGAAGCTGCTGCTGCTGCCCCCGGTTGGACTTCTTCAGTGGTAATAGCTCCAGTTTCCGAGAAAAGTCGAGAGGACAGACAACCGGAAGTGACTGGACTGGAAGGAGCCAACTCCCCGATAGACTCGGACAACCAGGTTTTGGAGTTGGACCCATCCGATGAAGACACGGATGTTGACAGCCAATTCGACTCGCCGACTGGATCTCCCATCCTGATAGCAGATGCTGCTTGTCCGACCTGTGAAACTCTTGATGACGCTCTGGAGATCGCCAAGACTCGGGAATTGGAGTCTTCTCTGCGTATTGAAGAGCTTGAAATGAAAGTTGCTCAATTGCAGCGTCAGTATGAAGATGAGAGCAGCAAGTCTACTGTTGCAGAAGCAGAGGAAGACTCTGTTGATGTTTCACAGTGTATTTTGGACGTTGAGGACGACGAAGCGGATGAAACTGAGGCGCTATCCGGCAACGAGGAAGGAAGCGCTGCTCATGCCAGTAGTCTCAGCTTGGCAAGTGCTGCGCTTTTGGCGGTGGTGGTGGATGCTTTAAAGAAGCGCAGTCCTACTGAGGCTCTGGTGATTGTGCTGGTTGCATTCGCCTGTATGGGGATCATGCTGGCAAGTTTTGCCTGGAACATCGCGACAGCTACGCTTTGATACTTGGCACTGACAGTTTTTTTTTGTTGACACATTTACTTTAATTCGTTATTATTATGCGCTGCGAGTCATCGGAAGCTCTGAGCCTATTCAGTCGAAAATTATACACGTTGTAACAGTTTCTTTGAGATCCCGTGGCAAGCTTAAGTTGCGTTTGTTTGGGGAATGGTAGTAGTATTTATCAAGCTCAGCTTACTACATAGACAGATCTGTACAATCTCCAGACATTTCGTGATCCATGTGAACCGCATCGGGTGGGTAAACCTAAACATAATCCATTTGCTCTTCTCTTTTTTATCCGATGGATTCATTAGTGGTTTCACTTCGCAACAATCAAGTGATTTACGCGATGCGTAAGTCTCCGTGCTTTCAACGATTCCTGGTGATGCCCAGAAAGCCAAGCCGTCGAGGACTTTGCTTTGTGCTCCTTGGGTTGGCGGCGTTTGCGCTTTGGATACCGTGGCTTAACACTTCAACAAACAATCTCTTTCAGCTGGAAAAAGAGCCCAAGTTACCTGTAAACAACACTCTGCATCCCGACACACCTGTGACGAGCGTTTTGCATCCAGACACACCTGAACAAGCTCCACTAAACCAACTCGTCTCTTTCTCCATCAAGACAACAAGCCAACCTCTACGCGAATATGAGGAAACATTCCCCCAGCATGGCAAGAGCGAACCGGGCCAGCATTACCGAATCGAAAACACCGAGATGCTAACGAAGCATGGGGACAGAGACAAAGACTCAGTTTTGATCATGTGTGTGTTCAACGACGCTGAGTCATGGGGACGGGGGCGCTCTATGAAGGACTTCTTTAAGCTCATCGGGTCCTTCGATTACCCGAAAGCAAAAGTTTCGATCGCGTTGCTCACTTCATCGATGACCGAGTTCGCAAAGGCGAAAGTGCTCTTCGGTTCCTACATCGCGCAATATCCGAGGTTATCCGTCATCTTCCGCAACGACTTCTCCCCAGGAGGATTAACTCGCGCAAATCGTCACGATCACTCGCTTCAGGCCAGTCGACGACGTATGCTCGCTCGATATCGTAACTACGCACTGCTTTCAACGATGGAGTCATGGCACCAGCACGTTGTGTGGGTGGATGCTGACATCACCGCCATCCCATCAGGATTGGTGCTTAAAATGGTGCAGTCTGGCCGCGACATCCTGGAGCCCATGTGTGTGCGGAATATCAGAGGGAAATGGTTCAACTACGATTCTAACGCATGGGTGGGCCAGCGGAAAGTGAGGTCGGCTAACGACAAGGACTTCGTACCGGGTCCACTGAACGCCCGATCCTTTCACAACCTCCCTGACAGATCCAAGCCTTTTGTGCCGCTAGACTCGGTAGGAGGAACGATGTTGTACGTGCGTGCAGATATACACCGGCAAGGGGTGATGTTTCCTGTTCACTACATCATCGGTAGTGAGTGGGGTCGGGAAGGTTATGATGGTATTGAAACGGAAGGCTTATGCTACAGCGCGCATTTCCTGGGCTACAAGTGTTGGGGCATGCCTCAAGATGCCATTGAACATGTCTTGTAATCGAGCTGCATCTTGTATTAATAGCGAGAAACACGTTTGGGCGACACATATACTTTTCAACTTCTAAGTGGCAAAATACTAGGTCACTATGTCAAGGGAGCCATTTTCCAGAAGACTTCACATTCATAAAAAAGTTTTTTTTTTGTGGATGATCTGGCAAAGTGAAGAATAGAGTTGTATTTGTTTTCTGTTAGTTTATCAAAACTTTTTTTTTTTAACTCTAAGCAACTCTTTAGTTATTGATGCTCACGGTCATCACTATACTGTATCACTCTAAAGTTCCCTTCATCAATTTATGGTTATTACTGGATACAAATTTAAGGACTATTATTACCCGGAAAATAAAACACCAATCGGATCCTCCTGAACTGGTTAAATAAACTATACAAATGTCACCTGTGTCATCGCCCTTTTAGTTTGTCTGTTATTGTATCAACAGGATTTATACCCGCCTGAAATGAAATCGTTGATACAGTGCGCGCGGAAATGATAGACGAAAACTCGATTTCGAGCCGATTTTTGTCAACCAAAAGCTATGAATTTGGGCTTTATATCCAATCAGGAGCACACCATTGCGGTTATTTTAAGGTATTGTTTGTTGTAATTCGCCAAGTATCTGCTGAGAAACACTTCAAAATCTGCTGTTGCGCTGCGCGAAAATGATAGACGAACCAAATGTATCAGCACTTATCTTCTGTTTTTATGTTTTCTAGACACTATGACGACTTTGACTAAGCAGCTTAGTACATCGTCTTCTACCCTTCCAGTTTGTACACCTCCATGCAGCGTTTTTTCATCGATGCTACAAGACTTTTTAATTTGAACAGAGGAATTTCATCCCAGGCTTTCTTAGTGGCCGTCACGAGCTCCTCCTTCGAGTCGTACTGCTTGCCATTGACGTACACGGCTCTTGGAAGGATTCCCCACAAGTTCTCGATTGGATTTAAGTCAGGAGACTTGGCTGGCCACCACATGACACGCACCCCTTGGTCCTTTAAGTACCACTTCACCAGTCGCGCCGTATAAATGGAGGCATTGTCATGCTGAAACTCGAAGTCTAGCCCGTGATAGAGGTGCGCAAAGAAGAACAGATAGTAGCCTAATGTGTCGATATACTTCTCTGCATTTTGTTTGCCTTCCAGGAAGGCCAATTTAGACGTTCCTTTGGAACTAAATGCTCCCCAAACAAACACACTGCCACCGCCAGACTGGCGCTTCGAATAAATCTCTCTCTCCTTCCGTAGATCACGCCAATAATATTGATAGCCGTCTGGACCATCTAGGTTGAATTTTTTCTCGTCAGAGAAGACAACAATACCTTAAAATAACCGCAATGGTGTGCTCCTGATTGGATATAAAGCCCAAATTCATAGCTTTTGGTTGACAAAAATCGGCTCGAAATCGAGTTTTCGTCTATCATTTCCGCGCGCACTGTATCAACGATTTCATTTCAGGCGGGTATAAATCCTGTTGATACAATAACAGACAAACTAAAAGGGCGATGACACAGGTGACATTTGTATAGTTTATTTAACCAGTTCAGGAGGATCCGATTGGTGTTTTATTTTCCGGGTAATAATAGTCCTTAAATTTGTATCCAGTAATAACCATAAATTGATGAAGGGAACTTTAGAGTAATACAGTATAGTGATGACCGTGAGCATCAATAACTAAAGAGTTGCTTAGAGTTAAAAAAAAAAAGTTTTGATAAACTAACAGAAAACAAATACAACTCTATTCTTCACTTTGCCAGATCATCCACAAAAAAAAAACTTTTTTATGAATGTGAAGTCTTCTGGAAAATGGCTCCCTTGACATAGTGACCTAGTATTTTGCCACTTAGAAGTTGAAAAGTATATGTGTCGCCCAAACGTGTTTCTCGCTATTAATACAAGATGCAGCTCGATTACAAGACATGTTCAATGGCACCTTGAGGCATGCCCCAACATTTGTAGCCCAGGAAATGTGCGCTGTAGCATAAGCCTTCCGTTTCAATACCATCATAACCTTCCCGACCCCACTCACTACCGATGATGTAGTGAACAGGAAACATCACCCCTTGCCGGTGTATATCTGCACGCACGTACAACATCGTTCCTCCTACCGAGTCTAGCGGCACAAAAGGCTTGGATCTGTCAGGGAGGTTGTGAAAGGATCGGGCGTTCAGTGGACCCGGTACGAAGTCCTTGTCGTTAGCCGACCTCACTTTCCGCTGGCCCACCCATGCGTTAGAATCGTAGTTGAACCATTTCCCTCTGATATTCCGCACACACATGGGCTCCAGGATGTCGCGGCCAGACTGCACCATTTTAAGCACCAATCCTGATGGGATGGCGGTGATGTCAGCATCCACCCACACAACGTGCTGGTGCCATGACTCCATCGTTGAAAGCAGTGCGTAGTTACGATATCGAGCGAGCATACGTCGTCGACTGGCCTGAAGCGAGTGATCGTGACGATTTGCGCGAGTTAATCCTCCTGGGGAGAAGTCGTTGCGGAAGATGACGGATAACCTCGGATATTGCGCGATGTAGGAACCGAAGAGCACTTTCGCCTTTGCGAACTCGGTCATCGATGAAGTGAGCAACGCGATCGAAACTTTTGCTTTCGGGTAATCGAAGGACCCGATGAGCTTAAAGAAGTCCTTCATAGAGCGCCCCCGTCCCCATGACTCAGCGTCGTTGAACACACACATGATCAAAACTGAGTCTTTGTCTCTGTCCCCATGCTTCGTTAGCATCTCGGTGTTTTCGATTCGGTAATGCTGGCCCGGTTCGCTCTTGCCATGCTGGGGGAATGTTTCCTCATATTCGCGTAGAGGTTGGCTTGTTGTCTTGATGGAGAAAGAGACGAGTTGGTTTAGTGGAGCTTGTTCAGGTGTGTCTGGATGCAAGACGCTCGTCACAGGTGTGTTGGAATGCAAAAGAGTGATCACAGTTGGATTGGGTTTTTCAAATTGTTCGCGTGATGAAATGCTGAACCACGAAACCCAAAAGATGAGTATCGCTAGGCCAAAAAGTGCCACGAAGAACTCACGCCGGTTTTGTTGTCTTCGTGATGCAAACTGTTGGTACAACAGGAAAGGGTGCATCGCTTAAAAGTCAGATAGGATGAATGGTGTGGGTTTTGCCTTGTCAAATTTACAGTGACCCCCTCCCCCCGATGCTAACTGCTTAATAATAATATTCTTGTTGATTGGTCACAGCACGATGTTCTTCAGTAATTTGTGACGAAACATGATTAGTAGCTCGCTGTACTGTAAGTACGCCCAGACAGCATTTTTATATGTTGGTCACACACTGTTCATGTGTATCTAGCACGTTTATATGATTCGTCACGCATTGTTCAGGTGAAACTAGCATGAATATATGATTCGTCACGGATTATGAAATGGCCCGGGATTTTGCAAATGATTAGTCACTGAAGCAGTTCTTTGAGCCCGTTCGAATCCTGAACTGCTGGCTTTTGACAAATGTGACTTGGAGGTTACAGGGGCGGATTTATTCTTTTCAACTTGAAAAAGGTCGGTATACGGAAAATATCACTTCAGAAACCAAGTAAAACAAAACACACAGAAAAACGACAACGTCTTTCGTATTCGGCTAATTGGCCAATATTAACAAACACTCTATAAGCACTTTATCAACAGAATGGCAACGCGATTAGAAATTAATGCTGCCGCGATAGTACATACGCATGCAGATACAACACTATTACCACAGCAAGGTAGGGTTGTAGTTTTATAAAACGTAATACAACTACGACCCCTTTTGCTGCCATGAAGAATTGCTGATAGCAACTTCCGTGCTACCTGCACGGTTTCCTAAAATACTAGTGTCAATATATGGAAGGCAATCGATACAATAAATAATGACTGGGAGTTTGAGAATTTAGAGAAATGAATTATTGCAAATATTGGCTTGCTAAAATACATTATGCATATCATTTTTTTTACAGAAACACTTTTCCTTCGTTTCGTTTCTAATTTTAAAATATATCGGACTAGTGGTTGGCATGCTTGGCCATATTGAATTTTGATGAAGAGGGAAAATGAGTCGAAGAAACACAAGCGCGCCATCTATGTCCGAGAAATGTACTAATTGGTTGTCTTTTGAGCGGTAAGTTAAACGCAATTAAATGTGATTACAACATAAATTATTTAATTGTGCTATTAGTGGTATTAGCAGCAAGAAGTTTTGTGTGTGAATTTTTTCCTGCGTTCTGATTGGCCCAGGTTGCTTTTCGCGTTCTGCAACAAAAACCGATGCTTGTCGAGCTGCAGCATTATTTCCTGGTGAGCACAGATCCCATACAAACGTCTCAGTGTAAATTGGACACAAGGGTGTCTTGGTGGTGTCGCTGGAAGGTGAAGCTGAATCGAGGATGAGAACCTCAACTCTGTCAGCCTCCGAGAAGAGGTTGCTGACGAAACAGCTAATATGGATTTGTCAAACCATGTTGTGCCATTACGAATACATGCTGCTGGAAAGGCAGCAAGAAAGTCGAAAAGTTGAGCGGAGGGAGTGCTCTTCGTGAATGCCAGCGGCCAGGCTGCAAGCGTCCTGTCCACGCGGCATGCGCAGGGAGCATGTTGGCCTCGTTTGGTGTTAGTAGCGCATTCGAGGGGATTACATGTGAAAAACGCTGCTACAATGCCCTTATAAAGCTGCCAAGTTCTTCTGCAATGCAAACGAAGAATCGTGTGGACCTTTTTTTTTAGTATGGCAACTAAGCCGAAAAACACTGAGCGTTTCATTCGAAAGTCTTTTAAGAAGTCCGTGTCAGACGTGTGCTCGTGATTGTAAAGTAGCTTGTGCCAGTGATTTTTCGCTTCTGATAGTAAGACGGCCGTGTGGCATAACGAATGCCCTGGATGTGTTCATACTTGTGCTCCCAAAACTCGTCCAGATCGTCTTCATCAGAGTCTTCGTCGCCCAGCACATCTCGTAACAGGGCTGAAGCCTCCCTCGTCACGAGGACGTCTTGCACGTGGCGTAGCAGTTGTTTACGCTTGGAGCAGCGAGGTATCCTAGAATGGGGGGGAATAAATATTGGATCCTAGTCCAAATGAGCTGCTGCTGCAAGAAGTTTTGCAGGAGTCTTCAATTAATTGCGACTTTGATTGGCTAAATGTGCTACACCGGCAACACCGCCAAAACAAAAACTGAGCAGCTGCTGCAAAATTGATTACCGCTATTGTACCGGGATATATTATTGCATGGGAAACCTGCGAGCCAGGAATTCATAACGGTATGAAAAAATATGGCAAATATTGATATTGCCATATATTTCAAGGAAATCCTGCCTACCTGTAGTGCATTAGTTTAACGATTTACTGCGTTTTCCAATCTGCGAGCTAGCCGACTACGTGGTTGTTACAAAGGATTCTACAAACTCAACACGCAGCATTAAGAGAGAATATCCGGTTAGTACGAATGTCGATTCTCGACTTTGTGATGCTTCCCCCTAGCGCGGTTAGCAAATTGGAGCCAAAAGATAATAAAAATCTGTTCCTGCGATTTGGGTTTTAGTCTATATTAAAACAGTAACATTTCGGTGGTCAGCAAGCATTGCTCTTTTTCTTTTTGTCGTGGTTACTGAAACACGGGGATTGAATTTCCAGCGCGTAACTCCGTTAACTACTGACGCAGTAGAAATCACTGTATGTGCGTCACCGACATCTCCATCGCCTGCAACAACATGTGTATCTGGTCGTGCTGGTCCTCGTCTAACCGCATTACTTGACCTTGTCCTGCTGCTGGATCCGCGTAGCTAGTCAAGAGCTCCTGCATAGATCTCCTGCTTTCTCTCTCTCTCTCTCTCTCTCTCTCTCTCTCTCTCTCTCTCTCTCTCTCTCTCTCTCTCTCTCTCTAGCTTCACCACCATCCACGATGGTAACGGGGACACGCGTCCCAGATCATGCGTCCCGGATCATGCGTCACTCGTCCATGTGGCTATAATTTAATAATTCTCGGAGCACATACGGTCTTCTTGCCACAAGCGCTCGTATTCACGTTGGTTGGTCCAGAGTCATTTGGGCCTCCCCCGTCAGGACTATCACGAAGTCGTTCATCCTCAAACTCCAGTACATAGCGACCGGGCGTACTCGGTATCGTCACCGGCTGCACTCCTTCGCATGTTTGTCCAGCCCAACAAGGGCTTGTTGAGAGGGGGCCGCGGCCAGACTATCGACTAAGAGTCTCCCTCGTCCTGCGAATACGTAGGCAGTTCTTCTTCGTCATCATCGCTAACTGCTTGCTGTTCTGTTGTGGTTCCGGGGACAGCGGCAATCGGTGTCGCATCCATAAGCATGGACTCCTCTCCGCACTCACACGATGAAGGTTCTTGTGCGTCCTTGTCATGTTCATCGCCTCCTGCTCCGCAACCACAATAACCAGGTAGGTTTGCCTGTGGATACATACGGCGTTCACCGCAGTTGCGATTTCGTCCTTGTCGCGATGGCATCGTCCGTTCTTGTGATACTTGGTCTGTCGATCGTCCGTGGCGACTCTGGTGAGTTGTGGAGATCCTTGGCACCTTGTACCCCTTTCATATCGCTTGCTCGTTATTATTGGTCGCGGCACCACCGTCGCCGTCCACCTCCGTTGTCGTTTGCCTGTTGATTGTCGCGTTTTTTTTTGTCGTTCGAGGTGTTGCACCGTCCCTTCTGTCGTCTCTCTGGGATTGTCGCTTCATGCTGCTGGAAACACAGATTGGCGGTTCTATTCACTGGAATCACCAACGGCTATTCCACACCTTCCAGCAGCTCCGTGCACTGGTCTTCACATCGCTCTCCAACGGCCCCATGCAGCGCTATTTCCACCGCATCACTCACTCACTAGCTCTCCTGTAGCGTCGGCTTCTTCACGTAAGTCGAGTGCGATGTCTTTGTCCATCTTGTCAAAAACGAAGATTTGTAGGATAGCAATAGTTAGCAAAAATGAACAATGTGTTACCAGCTCTACACCGTTCTCAACATAACCACCTTCTTATTGTCGTAGCCGGCAGCCTCAATGACCTTTGCATGCCCTCTCAACCGATTTTGGAACTTCGTGATTCAAGGTCCCGTCGCCACCCAATAAACCCACACTTACAGTTCCAGCATAAAATACGCTTTCCGTTGTTTGTTGCAGATTGTGTGTCTTCCTTGCTCACTTTTTTCAGTGCTTCCTTTGCTAACGCTCTGGCTTTCTTAAGTCGTCGATGAGCAGTTCGTGGTACGTTTCTATACATTTATTTTGGGCTGTCCAAGACGGCTCTTCCGAAAGAGTTCGCTTGGTGTCATTCCCCATTTGGTTGAAATCCATGCGCAGTGTGAACACAGGAGTTGCATGCATATCGTGCCGCCGGTAGTAAAACATCCCAGTCGCCGTGTTGGCCATCCACATATAAACTAATCATATCCTTCAAGGTGCGATGGAATCGTTCAAAACGGCCGAGTAGATTAGGTCGGTAGAGCCCTAGTATAGCTTGTATGGCTTGCGCCAGCTCTAGTAATTCTTCTGTTGCTTTGCCGTTGAACTCTGCTACATCATACATCATCATTTCACGCATCGGTCCAAACGCAAACACAATCTTCTCCACTAAGAAACCTTCGCAGTGATTCTTGGCACTGCCGCTGCTACCGCATACTGTGGCAAAGCACTCGAGAATGTTGGAGATGTGAGACGAGTGTGAATAGGCCAAATAGCTGGTAGGGTCGCCTACTGCAAATGCGACAATCACCATCACTCAGGGTCTGAAATGTATCCGGTCAAGACAATGATACAATCATTTCGATACACCCGGTCAGTGTCGCTGCGAGACAAGATCAACAGGAGATAATCATTTCACGACCTACTTCTGATCGCCGATCAACCATTGGGCCCCGCGATCTTCTCCCAGAAATGACAATCTGATTTGTATCCATCAAGCGTTGTACGATAGGGCTACGGTGGCCAGTTTGGACAATCTTAGGATAGTCAAGAAGTAGTGGCCACAAAGAGTTAATCGACTAAAAAAGTGTAAATTGCCTTACAAGGAACGAGTATATTTGGCCTTAGACTTAGCAAGAAGTTCGATAGCGGGAGATTGTAGAGGGACATACTGAAATCAAGTATAACCTATAAAGACGTGTGTCAGTCGCCGGAGGTACTGCTTACACAGGTGAGCCTCTCAGCAACCCCACGACTGTCGGAGTACCCCCTCCGTTCGTCGACAGTCCCCAGGCACCGGTGTGTCAAGTACCAACCCCGCAAACGAGTATTTGCGAGGAACATCCCACCA